TTAAGTCAATAAATAAACAAGGGGAGAACTTGCAGTGCAGGCAAGTGCTAATTCCGTGGCTCCTGCTCTGTGTGGAAAGGGGTCCGGGGGTGTTACTTCTTCTGGTTGGGAGCTTCAGTGAAGGTCTCCTCAGCTGCTGGGGTTGAGTACATATAGAATTTGGAAGAGCAGAGAGGAGGCAGCCATACAGCAAGTTTAGCTAAGTGGTCTGTCACATTAATATGTTTCATTCCAAGTTTAAAACCATACATCTCAGATTTGTTTTCTTTAAAATTCCTGATTTTGGGGCCCTCCCTGGTGGTGCAATGGTTTAAAGCACAGCAGGTTAAAGCACAGCACTATGAAGCTAAAGCCACTTCCGCATGAGTTCAATCCCCACCCCGGAGGTGACCCATGTGGTGCGGCAGACCTTTCCTGACCGCCCGCTGCTCCCCTCAGCAGTGCACTTCATGGATCTGCCTGTTCTGCTCCCACTCTGTCTCTGGTGAATCCTCTCACTGTCCCTGCACCTCTGGCCTGTTTCCAGTTCTGTATGCATACTTAAATAAATATTTTAAAAAATAATCCCTGATTTCTCAAGTTCAGAACATTTTTTTTTTTTTCAGAAAGCCACCATGATTAAACATTGCAGTCTTACTCTGTTGCCGTATTTGGAAATGTAGAGATAAAATGACAAAATGCCCACTCATTTTGCTAAGTTTCTTGGTGTTTTAATGTAGATGCCGCTCAATCTCACCAACGCTGTGGCTACGGCCCGACAGTTGCTGGCTTATACCGTGGAGGCGGCCAACTTCTCTGACAAGATGGATGTCATCTTTGTGGCTGAAATGATAGAAAAATTTGGAAGATTTACTAAAGAGGAAAAGTCAAAAGAGGTATTTTCCTTGTTTGGATTATAGCATGAATCTGATTTGTTGGTCCATGTCAAGTGGTCACAGGATAGAATTGCATTGGTATTTATAATGTTTGTTTATGCTTATCACTCCATTTGAAGTAAACACTTTGTTTTTCTTAAGATTCATTGATACATACAGAATTGCGGTGCAGGCCAGAGGTGTAAGATGATTCATCAGAGACAAAGTGGGGAGCAGAGCAGGAGGATTGGCTGAAATGCACTGCTGAGGGAGCAGCGTGTGGGGCAGGAGAGGTCTGCCATGTCATGTGGGTCAGCTCCCTGGCCGGGGATCAAACTCGTGCTCTAGTGGCAGCGATACCTGCATAGTGCTGTGCTTTAACTTGTTGTACCACCAGGGGAGCCGGAAATAAGCACTTTTTAAATCCCCAAATTATCCTTGAGGATATGGACATGTGTCACAATGATCTGAGAGGAAAAAGGGGATTGATTAGTTGGAGAAACAGGTGCTGAGAGAGAGCATAGCTCTCTGCAAGGAAGCATGGTCTTTGTCTTCACTGTGGGGGTTACTCAGATTCTGTGTCAGTCTTTTCCATCTTGACATGTTTGCTCCGCCTTCTGAGAGTGTTAGAGTAAGTTTTAGGCACCCAGATTTTATCCTCAATTTCTTAATTGCTTTTGTTGCATCCTGGAGAAATAAAAGACTGGTCAGGAACTTTTTGAAATTTTGTATCATTGGATGATACAAGTCATGAATTTTAACAGGGCCTTTTAAAATTACGACCTGTTGGGCAGCACCATATTCTTTAAGGGAAAAAGTGAAAATCACAGTTTTCAGAGCAAATGAGCAACAAGTTGTGTTATTGAATAAGTTTTAACACGCAGAATAATAACATCTTGCACTTTAAGTTTCAAGCTGTGCGAGAGCTTTAAATGCACTTTTTTTGGTGATAGGATGCTAATACTAATAAGAATTTTCCAGGTAGAAGAAACTAAGTCAGGTCAAACTGGAGCCCAGAGAAGCTGAAGTCCTTATCCGAGGGTGTGCAGCTAAGTTTGGGCAGGGCTGAGAGCAGAAGCCAGGTAGCCGGCTCTCTGTAGTGAAGCTTGTCCTAGAACAATGTCATAGACCTGTCTTTGCGTCCTGAAATGCTCAATTGCAGCTGCAGGGGAGACACAGGAATGAACAAAAGCGAGCCCTCAAAGTCCAGGGCCTCTAAGGTTCATTTGCATTAAAAAGTGAATAATAAATCTGGCTGATATCCTACTTACTTAAGTTAAAAGTAGTTTTTGGTAGAATGTCTACTAGGATTTTTCAGTGTGGTGATGGATTGTGGTTCTGCAGCCCTGGTACATGAGTTCTTGATAGGATAGAACGGGGCAGGAAAGGGAAGTTGCCCATGTGTAGCTGAGACACCTTGATAGTGGAGCGTGTGTTAGTGCTGTTATTTGAACCGTGGTCCACAGCTTTCTAGTGACCCTGCCCCTGGCCAGGCCTGCTCCCCCTGGCAGATTGTACTGGCGACAGAAGCAGCCTTCTGCATTCTGCTCTCCTTTGTTGATTATAATCACAGGTTCGCTGCCCACATGATTAGATGTCATTCATGGACATGGGCAATTTTGAGTCACTAGTAACTCGAGTGTAATTGCAATGACATTTGGAATATGGACATTGAAAAATATTTTGCCATCAAACAATACCCACTTACCTCGTGTTCCCTGCTGCTTGGCCCTGGGCTTGGGTGCCATGTGGCACGTGAACTGAGGGTGTGCTGGGGTGCGGAGCGAGTCTGCTCCTTTGGTGTGTCCTAGCAGACGCATCTCCTTGAGCACAGGTGATAAACAAAATGGAGATGACATTTGCCTTGTGCAACTGGCAGCATTTGTGTGTGCAAGTGAGAAAACACAGTTGAACATGTTTTTGAAAAAATAGTAGCAGGCCTGGGATATGATTTCCTAGGGTTAGGAGATTTCTTCAGTGATCTCAGAGGTTTAAGAGAAGTTCCCTTGGAAAAACGACACCAGAGTTCTCGAGTTATTCTGTAAAAACTCAGTCTGAAGGAGATTGCTCTCACTGCTACTGGCTGATAGAGGAGATCGTGTTTTCATTATCTATTGAAAACAAATGAAGACGATGTACAACATACAAATGGAGGAAATAGGGACAATTCTCAGGACTGAATAACCGAGATGCAAATGTTAAACACTTACTATGCAGTGACAGACATCTTATCTGATTCTTTAGAAACTTAAAGCACAGGCCATAGATTTTACCATTTATTAGTATAATAAAAAAGAAATGATGAGGTTTAAGGGCTTCATTTTAAAGTAATTACCACTGCATAAAATTATGCTAAGGTATCCCAAAATGTATATAGCTTAGTTGGACAAGTAATTAATTAAATTGATTTTTGTACTAAGTGCACAAAGTTATTCTGCTCTGCGTAATTTCATAACTAAAATATTGTGAGGCAGTTTGCTTCTGGGCCTCAGCTGAAAGTGAGCCAGTGCCGTTTGTCATCAGCTCTGTTGTTGAGAGAAGGTGCCAGAGCTCTCAAGCTCCCAGGTCTAAACGGCGTGTATCCTGGGGTTTTGAAAAATGACTGAAGGTTGTCTGTCAGGTAACAGCGATGTCAGTTCCGTAATTTCAACAGTGATTCCTCTCATGAATGGAACCTGCTTCCATTTCAGAGCTGAGGAAGCACATACACACTAGGCTTGGTGTCTGAGGGCCCCTTCAGGAGGTCTGGTTAGCACGGGGCCAGGGATCTGCACGTTTTCATGTATGGGTGCTTAGAAATGTAAAGTTCTCGTTAATTAGTTTTCAAACTTAGTCACTTCTGATGGGCTGCTGCATTTCTTTTTTCTTTTTGATTTTTTTCCTGATCTCACATGTCATGCTTTGCTGTGCTATTAATCTTTGCATGGACCCCACTTCTGGCTGTGTTATCTTTTCTACAACACTGTTGTTTCTCCAGCTTGCATACACATGTCCTTCTGTAGTTCTGTGGTTGGGTCTGAAAATTGTAGTAAGTTCTGGGTGTCTCTGATACATACAGGCTTCGAGAACTACTGTCATATTTTTATGGTCCTTATCTTTAGGTTTTTAGAATTTTTAGTTGGAAATTTTCAAAGTATAGCCGCTGTTGTTAAAGCCTGTGCTACACCTTTCACTGAGCTTTAACAACTCTCATTCTGCCCGGTCCTGTCTCATCTGTCCATCCATGGCTCCTTCCAACAGCT